CGGCGTTCGCTGATGCTGACGCTCCAGCGGCGGCTCGGGCGCCTGCTCTCCGGCGGCTCGCACACCTGCGGGGACAGGGCAAGGATCTGCGCCGGCCACGCCTGGGGTCCCCACACCCGCCGACCCTCTGCACCCTCCGCACGGGGCGGGGGCGCTTTCCACAGCGCAGTGCGCTCAGCCTCCCCAGTGCCGGGGGACGGTCAGAACCTCAGCCTCCGGGACTGTGGCTTTGCGTGGCTTCGCACGGCAGCTCTGCGCCTGGACACCGCGGCCGCAGCCCCGGCCCGGCCTTACAGCACACGGGTCGGGCTCCCTAGACGGTGATGTCCTTGCAGCCAAGGTCATGGTCCTCCGGTTGGTGCCCGTGCCTGGTCCTGACTGGGCAGAAGCCGCCTCCCTACAGTGGACACACTCTGGGGAGGCCCCCAGGACAGGCAGGCACCTCAAGCAAGGCGGGACCCAAGGTCAGCTGCTCGCCGTCAAGCCCTCCTAAAATGACCATAGAGAGGTGCAGGAAAAGAATACGGCTCAGGCGTCCATAAGGACCCAAGAACAGGCCACAGGGCACCAGTGCAAGAGGGCTGTCAGCACAAGACAGCAGGTTGGAAACCGGTTACCAACTGGGAAAGGCCAGAAGCAGGGTGCAACCCCTGCAGGATCCCCCTCCCCCCGGGCCTTCCCAGGTGGGCTGTGAGAGACTCCCAGAGCCCCTCCCTGACTCTGCCCAGCCAGGGGTCATCCCGAAGCATCCCTGAGTGAAGCCAGGTCACTCTTTGCAGTGCCGTAGTGGGGGAGGGGGGCATGCTAAAAATAAAAAAGGATTAAGACCAAACTCAGTCCCCATTCCTCCAGAAATTAAAAATAGAACTACCATATGATCCAACAATCCCACTTCTGGATATACACCCAAAGGAACTGAAAGCGTCTCAAAGAGATATTTCTGCACTCATGTTCATAGCAGCATTATTCACAGTAGGCTGCAACCCAAAGGTTCATCAGTGGATGAATGAACTAGCCGTATATGGCAAGTCCATGCAATGAAATGTTATCCAGCCTTAAAGAGGAAGGAAATTCTGACGCTCGCTGCAACATGGATGAACCTCGGAGACATGAAGACTCGGAGTGAAGTAAGCCAGTCACAAAAAACACAAATACTGTTTGGTCCACGCATAGGAGGTGCCTAGAGTCACAGGATTCAGAGTCCGCACGTGGAAAGCTGGCCACCCCGAAAGCTGGCTGGAGGAAAGGAGGGGAGTTGCTGTCTATGGGGACAGAGGTCCAGATCTGCAAGATGAGAGAGTTCTGGAGATCTGTTTTGCAATAATGTGAATATACTTTACACGACTGAACCGTACACTTGAAAGTGGTTAGAATGGCCAAAAAAGAAGTGAAGTCCCCAGCCCCTCTTCCCACTTTGCACCAAGAAGCCCCTCCACCCGGGGCAGGGGAGGGGTCCTTTCTGGAGGAAAAGACCACCCCTGGGGAGAAGGCCTGCAGACAGTAAGAGTGGGTGTGTCCAACATAGCAACCAGAAGCCAGCCCCATCAGCCCACAGGAAGCCTGACCACGGGGGGGGGGGGGGGCGGCCTGAGGCACGTGGAGCCTCTGGCGAGCCTTGCGGGCCCCACTCCTTTGTGGAGACCTAGAGCTGGCACCAGCCGCCCCAGAAAGCCTCTATCACGAAACACAGACCCTAGACCTCCAGCCAGGACGAAACTCTGAGGACAGGGAGCACAGAAAGGCCTGGCCCCCACTGCCCCACTATAACTGATGTTCTCCTAGACCCTTCGTATCCATGAAACAAGAAGAGGATGATGTGCAAAAGGGCCGGTCAGAGAGCAGGGACAAGTTCTTTCAAAGTAAAAATGTGATGTCAGAATCACAACTTCTCAGATGGTGTGGGAGATTGTTGGCCCTAATCCTTCCCTCCCCTCCTGTCACAGAATCCCCTCGAGTACGTGACGTCAGAGTGTTCCCACTAGAGTACATTCTTCTGCCCCCGCAATGCTGGGTGGGGCTGCAGATGCTGACGGAGCATGTGCTCTGGATGTGCCTGCGTAGTCCAACTGGGCCCTGGGTTTCTGTCACCACTGCGAGCACAGCCTTCCCTGGGAAGGCCTCGGGAAGGCAGAGGCAGGTGAGACATGACCCCAGCTGACCTCAGATCTGTAGGCAGAGAAACAGAAGTTTGCTGTTGTGTATCCTGGAAACTTTGGGGTTATTCCTCACAGCGCATTGGGACGGCAAATGCTGGTAACAGAACAGCCACAAAGCACAGAAAGGCCCGGAGAAAACAGCCTTCAAAACGTGAGAAAATTGGAGAATCAATCGTGGGCATCCAACACCCAGCTAACAGAGTCTTCAGAAAGAGAGAGAAGAGAGACAATAAGCACGGACACACACGCATGCGCACAGGAGGAGCCAGGCTCTAGGCTGAAAGGGACCGAGAAAGGAAACCGACTGGCACCAGAGGACGCACGGTGCGGCGACACTTCAGATCGACGGCAAGGGGGACCAGGAGCTTGGGTTCCAGAGGCCGACAAGCCGGGCACACACCAAGGCCCGGAAGCCGCCCGGCCTGGGGCAGCGAGCAGCAGCCCTGGGAGCTGGAGGGGACGGGACTGTGCCCTCAGAATCCCAAAAGTAAACTATTTCCCACCTAGAATCTTCACCCAGACGAGGTATCACTCAGGCGTGTCAGCAGAATAAAGATATTCTCACAACTTTAAACTCTCAAGGCCTTAAATATCCTCTGGCACGAGGGCGAAACGGAGCTCCCGGACCTGAGGTGTCAGGGCGCGTGTGAGCAGAAAGTCATGGCTTTGCAGAAAGTTTGGGGGGAAAGTCATAACCGGTGCACAGACAATGAAGGTGAAGTGGGAGGGCCAGGAGGGTGCAGCATCACCTCCAGGGAAACACAGAAGCTGTCTGAGAAGGCAAACCTCACCATTCTTAGGGGAACTTCTCCATGGTCAGCTGTGGACCAGGCTCACATGGTCGCTGGAGAGCAGACCTCGGAAGCGGATTGCAATAAAAAGATGAAACAATCAAAGTGGGAGGACGGGGCGGGGGGGCCAGGTCCTCAGTCTCTGTGGGAGGAGCCCCCAGAATCTGAAACCGAGGAAACAAGGAAGAGCAGTGTAAATGTGCAGTAGCAACAAGGGCTGGAAGCCAGGACTCCTGGCAGGGCGCTGTCCTGTCCTGTGCTCGCACCTGTTCATAGAAGCAGCACAAACCGTGACAAAGAGAGACTCGAGTGACGCAGCAGAGTGACCTAGCTGACAGAGCGCACGCCCTGGGACCCACGTTCTAACCAACAAACAGGGCTCACAGCAGGACAGGCTCCCCAGCGCAGGACGTGGGATGGGGGTCACATTCTGTGACTGCAGTGCCCTCCAACTGGAAACCAACCATAGAAGGAAAACAAGACGCTCCCACTGGCAGGGACGCACCAACGCGCCCTGCTTCTCGAGTCCTGGGTGAAAAGGAGAAAACCAGGACTGAAGCCCACCGTTTGGTGGGGGGTAGGGCCCTCCACCAGCCGACACACAAAAGCTTTCAGTGCTGGAAAATTAGGGAAAACCCCAGCAAAGGGGCAGAGCGAGTCACTCAAGAAGCTGGGAAAAGAACAAGGAAATCCACAGAACGTTTAAAGACAGAATTAGGAAAGACGGACGAGTAAACTAAAATGAAAAAAACAAAGCAAAACAACAGTAGATGGTGATCAGAGGCTGGTTCTCTGAAAAACCAACCAAACAGCACCCGTCTTTCGCCGGCGTCCTCACCGGCTCCGCACAGGTCCGTCATCACCGTTCTAGCCAGTCGTTTCATGTGGGGAGCCCACTTTGCTGTTGCTTTATGGAGTGTAAGTCCGTAGGCTTCGTGCACTTCCCTGCTCTATTTTATTGATTGATTGATTGATTGATTGATTGATTGATTTTTTGCTCAGTTTTAAAACCTGTTTTCCCTTTGCTTTCCAGCATCGCATTGTAGATTCTGGTTGGTAAACGTGTGAATATTCTGAAGGTTGTGACTATTTCCTTCCAGGCGGTCTTACAGCAGTTTTGTGTCTCGGGTTGTACCAGCCTTTAAAAGGGCTGGCAGATTTTATTTTTTGGTGGGGGAGGTAATTAGATTTACTTACTCATTCTTGGAGGAAGTACTGGGGATCCAGCCCAGGACCTCACGCACGCTAAGCACGTGCTGCCACTGGAACTGCCCCCTCCCCCGCAACGGCAGGCAGATTTCTCAGGGCTTTCTTTTAGAGACTGGGCCTAAGAGCAGCACTCCCCACGCGGATTCTAAACGCTGCCACGTTCTCCCAGCACTCCTGTGGTTGGGCGTAAGCGTTCGGTGTGTGTGTGTGCTTGATGAGTGAAGATTCACAGTCTCCTAAATGGACAGCGGATCACCCCAATGCCATACACTGGAAAGTCTGTCTCCCCCAACGCTGCAAAGCAAAGCATACATTAAATCCTTAGAGTTAAACAAGGGCCTCTTCCTCGGGGGTTGGGTGGTGGGTCTCCTCACTGACTTCTATCCTGATGCCATGCAGCGCCACTGCTGGAGCTCAGAAAAATCCTCAGGTTTTCAAATCAGGTCGCTATTTTGCGGTAATAGCTTGTTTCCTTTTATACATTTTTGAATTCTGGATACAGGAGGCCACGTGGCCCAGGGATGGCCACTTGCTTCTCTCCCGCAGGAGCACACCAGTCAGACCACCTCGCAGGGCGAGGACGGGCATCTGCCGCTCTGCTTCCACAGGACGCTGGCAGAGTCGGGTGGCTAAGTTCGCTTGTGGACCAGCACGAGACTGTCCACGGTCTGCTCTCACCCAGTCGGCTGGAACAGTCCACGATTCAGCCGGCACACCTCCCCGTGCACGTCGAGGGGCTGGGGTGTTTCCGACCTGCTCTGAGGGAGGCTGCCTCTTACCTGTGGTGTTGGTCCAGCCCGCTTCCTGCACGCGCGGACTCCGGTCATTACCCCTGCGGCTGCACCCTGTGTTTTGCGGTCTTGCCTGTTTTATGGGTCTTTCTCCGGCCCGTCTTCCTTCTCCTGAATC